CATTATATTTGCCATCTCTATGACAACCAAGGTATTTCCAAATATGGACTTATGCATGATGCAGATATTCTAAGCAATGCGCCAAATAGACACTCGACACTCTCCAATTTGAGTGAAAACTTAAAAATTTGAGAAAGCATTTTATTTAGAAACATGTCCAATTGAGAGAATGTCATATGACACGCTACAAATTCAAGTAAAAACTTCAAAATTGGAGTAACATTTCGAAACATTTCAATTGAGAGACATTGAGACAGACACTCTAATAATGAATAAATGATGTAATTTAAGTTCAATAGCTCTTAATACATAACATATTTTTCTGATGAATTACATTTGTTTATGTAAACTTGTCTCCCAGGGCCAAGTATTTGTCCATGTCATGAGTCACACCTTAATTTATATCATAAACCAATTGTGATGATGCTCTTGATTCTAATTTTGATGTGATTAGTGATTATGAAACTGCGTCCAACGGCATGTTCTAATCAGTGGACTGGCCCCAAGAAAAGATGGACTGGACTCTGGGCCATCTTTTAGACATTGCTTCACAAAATTACTAAAAAGTGGACTTAACCCTCTATACTCCATTATGGGGCCACACTTTAGGTTTTCTGTAAGTATTTTGACTAAAAGATGGCCTCATGCAATACATATCTAAATTTGAATTTAACTTATCAATATTATTATCCCAGCAAATGAAGTTCGATAGGGATGTCACGAAGCCCTCCATTTATCAAGTCCTTTTCCCAAGCACAATAAAAAAAAATATGTGGATTTTTAAATTCCTTTCAAATTAAAAAGATGGAATTTAGAAGGTTTGACCACAAAGGGTCAAGCACAGACACACATAACATGAGTAGCGGGACGAGTAGACGGTGTTTTTCTAAAATATAGCTTTGTTACATGCAAGAGGAAGGCATTTTAGTGTAGATTGGAGAGCAGGGGCGTAGTCAGCTTTCAGTCAGGGGGGTACGATCGCAAAATTTTTGGGTTTCAGTCAAGTTGGTGGATAATCGTGGCATAAGCAAGGCAAAACAAAGAAATAAGATCTGTTTTGAGCAAGAAGCTTAAAAAGCATTTTAAAGCTCTTTTCTTCCATTATCTAATGGTTCTATTTTTATTGGTTATGGAGGGGATGCGACCCATCACATTCCCCTCTGACTATGGAGAGATTGTGTTACCCGTAAGCAATTCACTCACAAGGAATGGAATATTGTTTCATATAATATATATTTGTTCTCTCATTAATATGCTACTGATCTCCAGATGGCAGGTATTTATATTAATCCAGTTGTTTCTTCCATTCTAACTTATTAACAAGAACACAAACGTGTACAATATGTCCATACCGATGGGTGGTCCTTGAGTTTTTATTCCCAATGCCCAATTCTTTATAATCAGTTGAAAATACAAGATTTTAGGTAAAAAAAATCAAAATGGCAACATCAGCCAGAATGCCCAAAAACTAATCAGTTTGAGATTTTCATACTAAGAATCACATCTGAAAAGTTGAATTCGATCTTTCAAATGGTTCTTCTGTAAACGTGTAGATAAGTCTTTGCACACAAGATTCAGGATGGAAGATTCAAAATGATCGCCTTATCATTTACCCAGAATGCTTAAACTCATCCTTGAAAATTTTAAAGTTGACATGGCAGATTGATATTAAGTTAAAGTTCAGCATGTATCCAAGTTTCAGTGTGATAATTTGGATCACTAGTCGAATTATGAAGCAAACAAGTGAATGTCTATGATCCCTGTATGTTCATGTATAACTCAGTAATACTATGTATGCCAGATAATCCATTTGAGCATCGCTATATCCAAAAAACATCATTAAATCCAGCAGCAGAAAAGACATGCTAACTACTGAACTATATTCATCATGTCCATGTACCCATTGTGTGAATTCAATGTCAAGTGTGGTCATTTCCATAACGATTATGAAGCATGTAAATTTGAGATTTAGAGATAAAGTATGTAAAGGTATTATAACCACATGCAATTCAACACTTATGGATTTTAATTAAGGTGCAGAAACTGACTTTTATCAATAAGTGATAATATATAATTTCATTGTTACCAGCCAGCCCGAAAAAATATATAATAAATAAAAGTGATAGTTTTGATAAAAGTTAAATTACCAAAATTAGCAATAGATTTGATAATCATCAATTGTTTTTATAAAATATTTCACACGAGCCCTTTTCTATGAAACAATTGCTAGAAATAGTTATCAATAAAAGTGATCGTTTTGATGTAACTAAAATTATAACTGTTAGCAATAGTTTTGATAATTATCAATATTATCTGATATTATTATATTATTATTATTATAATATAATTATATATATAACAGATTTTTCAGATTTAGTATTTATAGGAATAAGCGAAACTTAAAATCTACCATTCAAATGACATGGGGCTGGAAAAATAAGCAAATAAAAGTGACTTTCCGCACCTACCTCCATATCTCCCTGCCATTAAGAGTCGACCCTTTTAATGGAATGATAAATAATTCTGATATAGTTACAGAACAAAAAAAATGAATGGTTTTATATTGGTCATTTTACAAAAATATAATTCAACACTACGCCATATGTTTTTTTTCATTTTCATAAAATATATACTGAAGGAACTACTGACTGCAAACTTTTATGATATTTTCAGTAAGGGAACATTTTATATCAATTGGAATTCACATCTGTCCTTACAAATTGATAGTTGTGGAAAAAAAAGTAAGTATATTTAATCAATTGTTTTACCATTTCCCCCCCCTCTCCAAATTAAATTGAGTTAAGGTTGGTTGTCCAGCCCCAGGGTTCAACTTTTCAAAACATACAGTCAACATTTGTAAGGGAAACAACAAAGATATTTAGGTGGTGTGCAGATGAGTGTTAGGTAGATTGTCAGCTAGATTGTCCCCATTGAAAAGAATGTGAAGGATAATTTAAGTTTGACAAATTATGCAAATATTATACAAGTGTGGTCATACTAAAATTATAAAGCATGTCAATTTTAGATTTTAGAGATAAAGTATGAGAGGCTTGTAATTCAGCTCTTCCAGATTTACTCTGCTTTAAACTTACAATGGAATGCTATTGATTCTTTACAAAAAATAATGTAACTTCATAATTTTCATCAACAATAGAATTCAACTATATCTAGTTCCTTTTTTTGCAAATCACAGCTTAAAACTAATGATTGCAAACTCCTCCAACATAATCATTTAATAGGGAAAATTCTATATAAATTGGGATACACATATACCCTTACCAACTGCAAGTTGTGGAAAAGTTTGTAATTAATTTTTTTAGCATTGTTTACCCCCAACTCTCAGCATTAAGCTGTCTCGAGACTGTTTTGGGTCATGTAAAGTTATGAAATCAGAGCTTCATTGTTTGTGATAATTGTTATTTTGACAAAATTATATAAAATTTTAAAGGGATACTAAGATACAATAGTTGATGGTGTCTGGTACAGATTGTATCACTTGATAAGGTTTTATGATTCTATTAGGCATGCACCTTGGGTGGGTTGGATCACTCAGTACCATCCTTTTACTTAACCCTTTATAATCCAGTTTGAAGCCACTTTTTAGTCATTCTTCTATCAAAATACCTAAACAGTGGCCTTTGTATCAGTCCACCTTTTAGTCATTTTAACCACACAATGACTAAACAATGGATAAGGCCACAGAGTCCACTAAATTGGAGCCAGTCCACTGATTAGAACATGCCGCGTCCAACACCTCAATCATCAATTAAGTTCAATTAGTGTTTGTTTAGTAAGCTGCTTTTGTAATACACAGTGAAACCTGCATGTGGTGAACATAGAGGGAGCTATAAAAAGTGTTCGATGTAGGTAGGTGTTCACTACAGAGAGGGGATTTTATACAGGATGTAAAATGTGTCTTGAAATGGTATTCACTAAACACAGGTGTTCACTAGAGAGAGGTGTTCACTAAGAAAGGTTTTACTGCATCTGGTATTACGTACCATACTTCAACTATCTTTATAATTGCGAACTTTAAATTCAGTATAGTAATGGGTCTGGAGAATCTCTATGTTTTTTCCAAACAAGACTCCTTTTTCTCTCTTTTTCACCAACATGGAAAATGAGCATTTTGTCCCTCCCATACATCAGTGAACTCCCAAGCATTAAAGCAAGTGGGCGCAGCACCCACCTGAGATTTTGAAAATAGGCTTGCACCAACCTGAAAATCCATTTGCACCCACTTGAAAATGAGAAATGAAAATTTGGCATATTTTGACTAACTTTGGTCTGAATTGTGAAAATAAGAAATTTGTACCCACCTGAGATAAAATCCTGGGGAGATCACTGTACATGATATCACATTTGCTTAAAATGATAATAGACACATGTATATCATGTATTTAGTACAGTTCATTGCACTGTTCTGGGCAGTGAGTCAGGGTTGCTTGTCTTATTATGTCCAATTTGATTTGAAAATATTATTTATTTATTTATTTTTAATTTGTTTTCAATAAGACCACAAACAATATTTATTTGATATTTTCGATAATCTATTCTAGTATGGAATGCATGTTTAATCATTATTACAATGCTGAATGGGTTGATAAATTTTTATCAGCTTTTTTGATTTGGTTTTTGGTTAGGCTAGATCAAAGGATAATCTCTTTGAATTTTTTCATATGAATTGACAGTCTTCATGAAATCATATTAGTACATTCAGAGTGAATACATGTATTTGATTTTTGTATTCTATAAAACTAATACTAATTCACAGAAATATGACTTTTCTTTCTATTTCTCTATTGTATGCCAGAAAATCAACAAAACATGTAGTATTAGTTTGTTTTATGATATCACATGACCCACCAATAATATTCTTTTTATTAATGGTTCTTGTAGAAAATATTAATGATAAATAATCAAACATGGAACATATGGATTGATTGATTCATGTTTTGATTTATTGTTTGATTGTATGATTGATGCATTTTTTATTTTAGGTTGTGCTGGTTTGGCCGTTGGACACCCATTTGATACAACAAAAGTTAGTATACTTTCATTATAATAAAGCATTTAAAGTGGCACAAGAATTGGCTGAACATTTATGCAGTTTCACTACTTTCTGGGATGATTGCGAAATACTTAACAAATATGCTTATGGTCTTACCTAGCTCACAATCAAAATGAACAAACATGTACCTCAACATTTATCAGGCTAAGTTAAATATATACATATCTACTATCTTATCTCTTAAATTTTGTAAAAATCTTACGGTCATGTCAGTAAAAAAATATTCTATATGTTGCCAATAGAGGGCACCAATAAACAGTCCAGTGTTTGAAATCAAAGATGAAATCATTGTTAAGGAATTTTGAGCAATAGAGAAATGACCAAATTTTGCAGTTTCATTACATTATGGGACAAAACAAACAAGACTGACATATTCTTATACCTATTTAACAATCAACACACATATATGTACATACCATATTTAAGCATTTATCTAATGGGGCAAATAAATAAGATATTTTTGATTGGTAAATTATCTGTTATAAAACAAGAAGTGTGTTCGCTGACATCTGTGTAAACCAATTTCATTTATTTCAAATTTTTATTTTTTTTATTCAGTTTATTTTATGACAAATTATCATATCAAAATACAAATACAAATAGCGGCTGTACTTAACAGTATTAATAGCCCCATTTAATACAAATTTAAGATACATATGAATTGGTCACAGATTGTAAGATAACATACAGGTAGTGGAAAGGATGACTAGACATTTACACATCTTTCAGAAAGTTTTTTTCAAATTCTGCTTTGGGTTAAGTTTTAAATGCTTCTATTAAATCTTCAGATGATTAGTAAGATTTCTATTAGAAACAGTTCAACTTCCCTGCATGATAAGAACATTGTCTCGACACAAAAAGTTACTAATGATTATCAAAATAAAAAATAGCTAAAACATGATCGTAAATAACTTTCATTCCTCAGTCTAAACATGGCTTTTAAAGTTTCAACAGTCAACTCTGAGTGGATTTTCATGCATATTTCAAAAAATAATATTATTACAACATTAATATTAGAATAGTATGACAACAAATTTTAAATGTTTGCAGAGAAATATTATGTCAGGAGAAGACCTGTTTATTGAAAGAATACATGTATTGGAACAATTTGATCTAACCTCTTTGTGTTAAGCATCAATAGACTATTTTGGAAGTTAATTCAGTGAATTTAGTCAATTTAATTTTCCTCACGACTTGCATCACTAGTAACTACAGTTTACTATTTTGAATGTATGTCGTAGGTTAATGTTCAAACGATCTGTGACTGCGTATAGATCGCATACATCAAACAATTAGCAATAAATAATCACGCAGATGTTTAAATCAAAACACAATAACTACGTCATAAGAACGTGATTGTATTTTGAATGTACATGCATGTAGACTAGGGGAACGTTCAAACAATCTGTGACTGCGTAAAAATTGCTTTCGTCAAACAATTAGCAGTTAATAATCTCACCAAGGGGGGGAAATAATTGGTCAAGATTACTTATATTTTGCGTAAATCAATTTTAGAAAACATCTGTCAGCATTATAATTTTTTTACAAAAGAAATTAGAGAAAGTGGAGATATATCTTATTAGTAAAGATTATCTGCTGAAAAGCCATTTTTGGCTTGATTTTGATGGCTTGATGTTATCATCAGTAGCCATTTTAGTGTTGAATTATCCAGGTGCTAGTTTTGAGTTACTGTAGATTGGGTTAAGTTGAAGCTTGCCTTATATTTGGAAAGGACGATTCTCGGTTTGGAGAACGACGTTCATCAATCTAAATGAGCAGTATCCCTGCTTCGGACAAATTTGATTTTTTTTACATAATATAGATTTGAATGTCCTCTTTTGAATAGTCATAATTAATTTGGGTAATATTTCTAGATTTTTCTCAAAAAAATATTAGCGCAGTACACTGATGAACTTCTTTCCCCAAATCGAGACTTGTATTTTATTAAAATCGGTCTAATTGAGTGTTATCCCTGCTCCAGACCAATTTGATATTTTTACATCTTGTAGATTTAAATGTCCTCTTTTGAATATTCATAGTTTAATTTGGGTAATATTTCTATATTTTTTATGAAAAAAAATTTTAGCCCAGGAGACTGTTCTCCAAACCGAGAATCGTCCTTTGGGGAAATATGGAAAAACACCAATTTACATCTTGTGCCACTCCCTGGATTTTTCATGGAATTTTGACCTGTGTATTAGTCACTTTTGGTTCGTTTTTACAAAATCAGAAAATTGGCGCAGGATAGTCAGTCTCCATTCAATTCTGTTGGAAAAAAATGAAAAAAGAAAGACTTGAGATTATAGCAGTGTTTACTGAGGTTCACAAAGCGCAGGTAAATCGCGAAAGTTGCACGGAACATAACCTGTTTGTAACCAGTATATGGAAGTTGTTCTGCCTGAGTTAGGTCCCAGCCCTAGTGTACGTTAAATTAAATAGCAGCCAATATGTCAAAAAAGGCAGAATCGCCAAAATAGATACATGTAGCCACAAAAATGCCCAAAATGGCTTAATCGCCAAATTAGATAGCCCCCAATATGCCAAAAATGATAAAATCGCCGAATTAAATAGCATGCACTCAAATCAACCCAATCTGTCTTCAATACCAGTTTCGCCATTATTTGACTAATTCGGGTCGGAAAACATGGCAGGCAACCTAAGATAAAAAAAAATTCATTAAACTTAACAAATGAATAATTTAATGGATCAATTTTATATTTAGAGGACCCTTTGGCCTTTGACCTTGAACTTGTAATATGTTCAGTAAAATAAATTATTGTCTGTTCAATATAAGAAAATATTTTAATTTTTATGATTTTATACAACATGGGCTCTAATGGGAAATTCCCAACCTAAAAATAACTTTTTTATAGAAAATAAAAATTTCGATAGTGATCAACAATTATTAAACCTTAATTTTTTCTATAGATGCAATTTTGTATGTAGATATGATATTACTAAATATGATATTACTAAATATGATATTACTAAATTTAGAATATTACTACTCGCATAAAATAAGTCACTTAATTGAAGAATACTCTTTGAGTTATAAAAGAAACATGTATAATGGTGCAATTTTCTATATTTAACAGAATCAGAAAAGTAGGTTTAAGTCCACATCTACAGTATTTATTGTATAACACGATGATGAGTCAAAAATATCTAGGCTTATTAAGCATGATATATATAGCTAAAAATTACCCATGTTTTATGTAGAATGCTACGAAAATATTAAATTTTCAAGAAAATTTTATTAGATCAGTATCTTTTTCTGTCACCATCAGAAGTGTTGACAAATTGTTATAGTCTCTAAATTCTTTTGTGGACAGTTTTTGGTGGTTGGTGTTCAGCATTCTGAATCTGTAAGAAATGGCAAGTGGTGACATTTTGCATGTTAATGCCTTGTCAAAGTTTGAGATAGAGTAATAGAGAGAATTCGCAACTCACTTTTAGCATGATTATTATTCCCTTATAGGCCTAACATATAACTTATGAAGCGTTTGATTATAAATCGTCATCTATACGTAAGAATATCACACTTATGGGCGTTTAGAGCTATGCAATAAATGATGACGTAATCAATTCTCTCTTATGATGCAAATATGTTTACAGGTTCAACTACAAACCCAACAAGGCAAGTCTGCCTATGCAGGAACATGGGACGCTATCAAGAGCATTCACCAACATGGATGGGTATGTATAGTGTTTACACTCCCCTCCATAAATTTTGAAACGGAAAGTCCCCTTTTGGATAACTTATTCTTTATATAGTATCACTAATATTGAGTCATTTTATGTTTGGCAATTTAAAAAAAATCATGAAATCATCATAAATATCTAAACTATTGTATATGAGGAATAAATTTAAGATTCGAACAATGACAGGTTTAGATATATGTGATATCCAATGAAAGTTACCAAACTAGTGAAGGGAAGTGTACCTTTTTATCCTCTCATTTCAGTGATTTTCCAAGCATGAGAGCAACCAGGTGTGCACCCTGCTCAATTTGTTATATGAATGCCATCTGGTTGAAAAAAAAATTTACCCAAAAGGATTAAATAATGAGATTTTAACTTAGATTTTAACTTAAGATTCAGTGCGCACCCAGTTGAAAAAAGTCCATTCCTTAATGTTTAATGAAAATCCAAGTATGATATGTTTATGTCATCAGTTAGAAAGTAACATACCTTGTTATTGCTAACATTTTTATGACTAGCTAGCATTTGGCTTCTGTCATTGCGTGCAAGCTTTAACATTTTGTTTATTTCTATCATTTTGTTTTCATTTTAGGCAAGGGGTTTCTTCCGAGGTCTTGCATTCCCGTTAGCCTCATATGGAGTGGTTAATAGTGTGTTCTTTGGTGTCTATGGCAACACACTGCGTTGGCTTAACAGATCAGGTACAACATTTTATGTAGCAAAAAATATATTGCATGTTACTATTTTACAAAATAACATGACACATTACCCCTAAATTATATGCCCTCGAATTATAAACTGAATTATAAACTACCCTTACATAATAAACTTCCACACATTATAAAATGCTTCAAACTGCCCTCACATCATAAACTGCCCTCAGGCTTGTATTATTAACTACAGTCATAGTCACACCGGAATAGCCTGACTACGGTAAAGTCAGATACTGTTGTCGCAAATGGCGGACATAACCGTCGCTTCAACTGGTTAATCACTCGGTTCTCATTTCATGGGATTTCATCGTCGCTGATTCTGTGCATGCAGTAAGCTCTTGTGATAATTTATCATATGAAATCCCATTTTCGAACAAATTGGGCCGTGAATCGCCACAATATAGCGTCTTCGATATCGTCAATGACAACGGAATCTGAATTTGAGTAATTTAGAAAGACAAGGGCATATGGTAATTACAGTGTCCGTTGTCCTGTATCTCATTTTGATCGGTTAAATTAAAGACTTTATTTCGATGGTAGAACATTATTAACTATACAATGGGTATTAAGACACTTTGATTGGCTGTTGTTCCAAAGGAATTTAGTCTAGGTGCTCTATTATACATACAATTCATGAAAATCTAATTGAAGCGACGGTTATGTCCGCCATTTGTGACAACGGTATCTGACTTTACCGTTGTCAGGCTAATCCAGGGTGATAGTGCAAACAGCCCTTTCTGTATTGATATTACCCTCACAATATAACCTAAGCTGCTCTGACATTTGAATGTCTTATGTTTTGCAGAAGATGATCCCTATCGACAACCAACATATCGTGATGTTTTCATTGCTGGATGTGTCGGTGGCGCTATGCAAATTATCCCAGCATGCCCCATTGACGTTATTAAGGTCGTTCTCCAGTCCCAGATCACCCATTCTACAGGTTTGGTTATTTCTATTTATTACAAAGGAATATAATTGCACATAACATATAATATATAATGTATATAAACCTGCATAATCTTGACTCATAAATATTCTTTATCATAACCTAACCTGCTTAATGATTAAGTAATGTAAATATCAAAAAGATAGAAGTCGCTTTTTAAAAAATATTTAACTATATACATGTATATTTAGCTATAATATTGCTGCACATTTTAATATGTTAATCATGGGAGATTATCAGTGTTAAAGGCCCTGTAGAAAGTTTAAACTACTTTGGCTTATTTTGTATAAATACCAATTGTAATCAAGATTTGGTATGTTTTCAAAAAGTGGGGTTTGGTTCGAAAATGTTTTGCCATCTTAATGATATCCTGGCTTTATCTTATGACAACATAATATTGTAAAGAATATATATATAAATAATTATTGATATATGTAGTAATGTATCCATCAAAATACAAACAAAACTCATAAAACACTTGTTTAACTCATAAAACACTTGTTTAACTCATAAAACACTTGGTTAGTTAGTGTATGTGAGTTACATCTGTTTTAATGTCCCTCATTTCAAAGTTCTTGAAAGAACATTTCCCTTCAGGTGGGAGCGTTATGAAAACTATATGAATTTACAAAAATAGATCCAGACATTGGAGAACATGTCTGATATAACCCATTTGCATCAAATTGTTGTTCAAATTGAAATTAAAAAAGTACTGCTTTCAATAATTCCCCATGGGCCATATAACTAAGGGTTACATTTTTAAAATATTTTTTACTTGTAAATTAAATTTTGGTTTAGGTTGAGAAAAGAAAAATGGAAAATAATTCATATTGAAGAGGTGAGATTTCCAGTGCATGAGAATGATTGCATTCATATTTAGCCTTTGGAGACTGATGGCATGTTGTTTGTTGTTGTATTCTGTTTGATGCTTTTAAAACTGTAGGCATGTTAGCTTTCAAATTTAATTCATACTTACAGTTTAGAAACAACTAACTTGTACATGTTGTATTGTCTTACTAAGAGTTTAGAAATTGTTAGCACGTTGGCTGAATTTGAGCAGGTGGCAATAGTCTGTGCTTGATAGCTTTTAAAACTGTTGGCATGTTAGCTGTTCAAATTTAATGATTCATACTTACAGTTTAGAAACTGCTAGCATGTTATTTCTTGTGTAGTCTTACTAAGAATTTAGAAATTGTAAGCATGTTGGCTGAATTTGAGCAGGTGGCTAAAGTCTGTGCTTGATAGCTGGGTACTGACCCAATTCTGCAGCTATTTATTTTGGTGATTGGCACAATCTGTATTTTCTCTGACCCAATTCTGCAGTTATTTAATTTGGTGATTGGTAAAAATCTGTATTTTCTCTGTCATGTACATGATAAATGTACTTGAAGATTTGGCAAAAATTGTCTGCACTAATCTATGTAAATTAAGGGATGGTATCAAATTATCAACAATCATGGAAAAACAAAGTTAAATTTGTTATGGTTTACCCCTCTCCTTCCCCTCATATAAAGTTTTTTAAAATGTTGATTAATTTGTCTTTCACTTGAATATTAAAAAATCAACACGCTAACGGAATCATCATTTACTCCCTATCCTCTATTTCAAAACTGTTGATAATTTGACACGATCCCTAACCTACATGTATGCATGCAGGACTCATATATGCATACACCTAGTTTATGTTTGTATCAGGACAGCATGAATTCAGGAAAAAACTATTCTTTAGGCCTTCATTAGATTGGCTTTGTGTAATGCTTGGTGTGTGAGTATAGTGACTTATCGAAATCAAGGTAAGGAACCCCAATTTAGTAATTTAGCATGACCATATTATACAGATCATTTACTTTTGGGTGGGTGCTTGGTGGTGTGATTTCATTATTATCTGCCTTGTTTATTTTTAAATTCAAGCACATTTTAACAAAAGTTAACAAAAATTTTAATGTTTGTATATGTGTACATATATGTGTATATACTCAATCGCGCTTGCTCAATAACAGATAGCATTTTAAAATATTTATGGGTTTTTGATCAGTGACAGAGTTTGCACCAAAAACAACAAAACGTACATAAGTTTAATTAAAAGGCAGAAATTGGTTGTAGTCTACACTGTGTTGTGTAGTGCACCGATGCTTTCATTTTGTGTCCCTTGTAATTGTTGGCCTTCTGCATTGCAGGAACCACAATTGGTGCAACAGGAACTGTGACAGCACAATATTACAAGGGGCCTTTAAGTTGTATGTGTGCCATATACAAAGCACATGGCATAAGGGGTCTTTACACGGGTGTCCAAATTCAAGCCATAAGAGATATACCCGCAAGTGCAACATACTGGGTGACCTATGCATTCCTCTATAAGCACATACACCAACTGCCTCATGTTGATCAACATGGCCTCGTCGCAAGTTTCATTGGCGGGGGAATCGCTGGTATGATATCATGGGCCATTATTATGCCGTTTGATATCATCAAGAGTCGTATTCAAGCTGATTTTGATAAAAAGCTATATAAGGGAATAAGTGACTGTGTGAGAATTACGTATGCTGAAGGAGGTTGGCGTATATTTTTTCGTGGAATCGGTGTTACATGTTTGAGGGCCTTTCCTGCAAATGCAGTCATTTTGGTGGTGTATGAACAGTCATTGAAGGTGTTGACAAAAATGAAAAAGGACAGGGGGTAAATTGGAATGCTTGAGGATGGAAAGGTACCGTCCCAACAGACCCCCTTTTCTGCCCCCATCAGAATCAAACTTATTTAGCATCTAGAGTATCCTCACAAATGTACTTCACAATAATATTTCAAAATTAGGTCAAATGATGAGCTAATGAGATCACTGGGTGCAAAAAGGTCAAGTTGGTAAAATCAATCTAATGATCAAGTAATTTCCTTAAACATACCTAAATAAAATAAAATCACGAGTTAAACCTGACTTTACATTTGTTTCCATGGGGAATAGGTATCTTAATAGCCTTTGAGTAGTATTTACACCATACTTAACACAAGGAAAATGTTTGAAAATTTTCAGTCAAAATACATGTACTGGTATACTGTCAAAATATTGTATTGTAACATATTTGATATTAATATTCTAAAGCTTTGACACAACATATTAGTATTTATTGAATTTCTATGGGTACCAATAGGTACAGTTGCTGAAAGTTGAATGTACAGTTTCTAAGGGGTCGGGTCAAAATATCAATGTCCATCAAAAAAAACCTAATTGATTTATTTAGGTCCAACCCCCCCCCCCCCTCCCCCTTGTAACAAAATCAAAAATCTTGAAAATTGAAATTCCTAGGAAAACGAAAAAGTGTTTGACCCCCTCCCCCTAATGAAATTAATTATGTTTTTCGATTGACATCGATATTTTGACCCAACCCCGAACAGATATTTTAGTTATTTTAAAACTATTCCATGTCAGTATCACTATCCTTGGATAAAGGCAAGTCTTTGGCATCATGGAGAGAGTCACCTAGGAAAGCTTTTGAAAATTGATAGCCTTCATGTCTGGCAACTCCCAAATAGGTGACATTGTATCCAAAATGGTGGCAGAAATGTTTTAGAAAAAATACCAAAGAAGTCCAAAAAACTATATGAGCTATGTTCTCCACCACTTTTTTTGCAACTGAAAATGTTGCCTAATTCAATTTTAGATCTGCACAGCTAAAAATAAAAGTGGTGGAGAACATAGCTCACAGTGAATTGAATCAATGAACCATGGTTCTATTCAATTGAGAAGGGTAAATAATGGGGGTCTGGATTATAATCCCTTTTTATGCCACATATCATGCATCATCACACATAAATCTGCTGGATACATTTCAGTAGGGATCACATGATGCATAATTCACTTAAATAATACTTGGAAATTGTTTTTAAGGCTTTATTTACTACATTTTCAAAAGAACACTAAATTTCACAAATAATCTGCCATGATGGGAGTGGTTACAGAAATGGGCCAGAAATCATATTTTTGTAAAAAATATTCACTATATTTTTTAAGAAAATGAAAAAACACATATCAGTCAAGAATATTCTGAACTTTTTTTTTCAAAAATCTATAATTGCGTTTTCATGAAATTTTCTAAGTCCTTAAAGGGATCCCAATAAGACTGTACCTTTTAAAGGAATGGATTTAATGATGAAAATATATGTAAGGATACAATTTTAAGAATAATGAAAATATATTAGACTGTAATAAAAGACATGTTAGAAGAGAAATCTTGAAATGCAAGAATATGAATTTAATGATGAATATGTACAGGGTGTTTTAGAAAAAAATGCAACCCACATACTTAGCAGTGCATCTTTTTAACCTATAGAGCTTGAAAAATGTGATGTATAAATATTGCATCAATAACTTAGAGAAAGTTGTTTTTAGATGGTCTAAAAGTAAACTGAAGTCTGGCAGTGATAGATCATTTCTCCTTATTCCGATAATCACCATTTTAGAGGGAGAGCAATATAAAAAAGGAAATTCCATATTTTGAAAATTCCAAATCCAATCCACCTTTTAATGTTTACCTATCTTGGCCTTTTTTGATGAACTAAACAAAACAGCGGGCATATATACTTTGACTTAAGCCATAATGCATAACCTATAGAAGTCTATTTTCTATGTACTGTCTTAACAATTCTACAAATGCTGCAGGTGACATTTTTGTCCTTTAGTCCTTGCACAAATCATCAGAGTGAAGTCAAGTATTGTGCTACCTTTTACTATTGTAGACTTAATCATTACTTGGACTGTCAAAATGAACAATCAAAATACATTTCATGAAAAGGTTTATACTCTCCTATTTTGCAGTAGTGAAATAATTAAATCATGGTATGTGGTATATCATGAAGTGGTATGTTACTACAGGTGTAATAACTAGCATATTTACTCATGGTTTTGTGACGTTAACCTGTACAGTGTAGGTGTGTTTTGACGTAAATTATGTGTAATGTAACGTCTAAATAACATATATTTTAGTACAGTTGGTGTCAACATTGTGACTGCACTACTTTTTGAATGCCCATCTATTCTGATGACCCAAGTACATGTGTTTCATGTTCACTTATTTTATCAGATTTGAAAATATATTTTACACAAGAAAAAAATGTTGGCTGTTTTTATTGAAATGACACAAATATAATAATTATAATTAGTATTGGTTGTGTGACGTAAATTACATGTCCGTGTGTTTTGACGTAAATTTGATAGTAACATGTAAATGAAATAATATTTTCGTGTAACAGGTTAATGACATACATGTCAAGAAGTTACCGGTTTATCAGGTGGCTGATTCGGGTTAATTAACATGGCAAGTATATAAGAAAGTTCCCTTATATTAAACTTGAATATTATCAGTTTAAATGGATCAATTTACATATAATTCTTCTCTGATTCGTGTCTGATAGTTATGCAAACGAAAATCTGTCCAGTAAAAGAAAATATTACCTGCCCAACACAAGAAGATATTTCACTTTTTGTGATATTTCACTTTTTTGGGTTAAAACATGGGGTTATGGGGAATCTCTACGACCAAGAAGTCATTTTCAAAGAATATTAAAGGACGATTCTCGGTTTGGAGAACGAAGTTCATCAATCTAAATGAGCATTATCCCTGCTTCGGACAAATTTGATTTTTTTACATAATATAGATTTGAATGTCTTCTTTTGAATAGTCATAATTTAATTTGGGTAATATTTCTAGATTTTTCGCAAAAGGATATTAGCGCAGTACACTGAAGAACTTCTTTCCCCAAATCGAGACTTGTATTTTATTGAATCGGTCTATTTGAGCATTATCCCTGCTTCAGACCAATTTGTTATTTTTACATCTTGTAGATTTAATTGTCCTCTTTTGAATATTCATAGTTTAATTTGGGTAATATTTCTATATTTTTCATGAAAAAGATTTTAGCCCAGGAGGCTGTTCTCCAAACCGAGAATCGTCCTTTTCAAAGTTGGTAAATACTTTTTAAACCACATTATTAGATTCAATTTTACATGTAGACTTTAAATATGATATCCTTTCAACTAAATTTTGAATATTAAATGAAGTGAATCAAGATTATTTCTACTTGCATATTGTTATTAATGTACGAGGGGTGATCAATAAGTAATGGACGCTTTTTTATACAGATGCTTTTTATAGACCAATCCCTTCGATTTTCTTACCAGTGAGGTGGTCATATTTTGCATGTTAATGCCTTGTAAATATTACTATTTGCTTGGTTAAAGAGAACTAAGATTTTGTAAAATGCATTTTAAACTGAATCAGAAACTGAAACTTTTTAATTGGTTTGAAATTGTACTATGCTGGTGATTTTATTTATTTAAGCTATACTAATATATGCATGTGACACCAAAACTTTTTGAAATTAAAAAAGAAAGTTTCATATCCGTTGAACAATGTAACATAAGCCAAATTAGTTTAAACCTTACATCAGGTAAGCTTTTGATAATTCTGGATGAGGGTTATAATCTGTGTATTAATATCAAACCAATCGATAAAAACTTAAGTTAGGCAGAGGGGGATTGCTCTTGCTCACATTAAATCAGTAATCTGTATACCCGCTTACTTGTAAATGTCAAGGTGAAATCAGGAAGTTTGCACTACAGCACTATGCCTACCTAAATGTCTTTAGCAAGGAACGTTTGTGTATTCTTTACTTCAGGAGAAGCCAGTTCTACCCACATTAAAGATGTTTCCCAGCGTCACATGCAACAGCGTTTCTTCAAAGGACCATTCCAGTGCGCCCGAGCCATAGTACGTGAAAGCGGCGTCCGTACTTTGTTCAGAGGGATGACAGCGTTTGCTATCCGTGACATTCCATCATTTGGTTTATACGCAGTAGTGTATGAATGGAATTACAACTTTTTACACCGACATCATCTAACTGACGAGGCGGGAATGTTCGCCAGTTTTATTGCGGGTGGTATGGCAGGCGTGGCAGCATGGGGCTCAATCATACCAGTTGATATGGTCAAAAGCCGTCTCCAGGCAGATCCCTATAAGCAGATGTACAAGGGAATATGGGATTGTTGCGTCAAGAGCTTCAAAGCCGAAGGGATTAGCGTTTTCTACAGAGGCTTTGGTGTTATATCCATTAGGGCGTTCCCCGTTAGTGCAGTGACATTCCTAGTGTACGACCAGATCCTGAAGCATATGAATGGGACTCATATATGGCAACAAGAGGAATAATGTGATTATTTATCCTAGTGGCTTAAATTCTAGACTTGAATACCCTAAATGATAAGACTAGTCACCAACGTTTTTTTTACCAATGTGGCGCTAATTTTATCAGCATTTATCTTTGCACAATTTAGTTTTTAAAATTTGTGTTTTGGGCCTACATTTGTAAAATTGCTCATCAGCTCATCGCATATTGCATGTATTGTATATTAACAGATTACTGTATATTTTATAAGTTTTATATGTCTCTGGCTTACCTAGTGACTTATACATGTTATACCAGTGTCTTACATGTGACTTATCTACAACTGAACTGAGAAGTTGTTAAGAGACAAAACTTTTTTTTGGTAATTTAGACATATGAATTGTTGTTCATTTGGCTCCAACTTCAAATCCAAGGCCGTTCCTGTTTTCTCTGGAACTATTGACGATCTTTAATTTTTACAAAAATCAAACAAAAAGTGGAAGTTCTAATTTCTTCGAGTCAGTGATGAAGGTACATGTTTTAACACCAATTCTCATGTCGAAATTATATCCATGGCCTTGTCAATGCTACTCCCTTCACCCGTTCACCCTAAGCGTCTCAAAACCATCAGCAAGTTAGCTTCACGTCATCAGTTCATATAGTCTAGTGTATTTTTATGTCACCACCAGAAGTAGTGTCGTGACACGTTGCTATAGTCTCCAATTAATTTACAACTGGACGGTGTTCTGTGGTTGGTGGTCGGTGTTCGGTGTTTAGCATTGGCTAAAATATCATAGAAAATATCCATACATTTTTCGAATAAAACTCAAATGTATGATATAAAACCTTTAAAAAGACATATATAAAAGTGATGTAAAGGTATACGCTTTTACCAGCTTAAAATTGGATTTTATTTCTAAACATATTTACAAGGTCTGTGAGTCATGAACTTATGAAATCCAGGGCTAATTTTGAGTAATATTCCACTCATTATGTCCGCCTATGTAAAAATGAAATTTATGAAATAAATCTTATTAAAGAAATATAAACATGACAAAAAGATACGCTTTTACCAGTTTCGGGTGTTATAAATAAACATTATTTTTATTCATGTAATTAAATTATTAGCAAGTGTTACATTTACA